GGTGCCTCCTCCCGGCTGCGCAAGTTCCAGCTGGTCAGTCCACTGTTTGCGCCCTCTGTTGAAGTGAATCAGCTCGCTCTTTTCCGGGCCAAAGGACATTCCCCGGGTCTCTGCCCACTCCAGGCACGTCTCCCACGCTGCCTCCAGCTGTCGAACGTTAGCCTCCGGCTCCCGACCAAAGACCAAGAGGTTGGTATCGTCCGAAACCCCGCTATCGCCAGATGGGGGCTCTCTTGATATACACCATCTCGGAGAGCTGATGGATATGTACCACAACCGCGAGGCTACGGATCGCCGCGACAAGGTATATGCTGTGCTCGGCATGAGCTCCGATGATTGCATCCCAACTGGCCTGTCGCCTGACTACGACAAGACCTCGTGGAAGGAATCTCATAGAGGAGAGCCCTGGGGGACCCCCGCTCGTATCGCCGTCGGTCGAGCTGCCTGACTGTCAGAGTGCAGTATGGGGCAGCTGCGCTGTGACCCACATATAACCCACAGGATTGCAAGGTCGGAGCGACTTGCGATTCGACACCCTTTTTCAGGGAGATACGACATAGCCGAGTGGGTTGGTTGTGCGCGTATCCTCACACTGACCGTCGAAGTGAAGAGTGGCCTCCCGGCCGGTCAGCCAGTTCTTCGTCCATAGGACGAGCCAACTAAGAATAAATATATCAACATGGAAAGTCCAAACGCATATTTCTGTCTCTACCGTAAAAATTGGTGGAAAACAAAGAATTCCATTGTAGCCTAACCAGCAGGTAATGTATAGAACATTATCGTTACATTTTAACTCAGTTCTTGCCAGACAGTCTTTGAGACCTGCGGAGCTTCGGAGGCTCAATACTCTCTTCCATCACTCCCCGCTTGCGTTTGCGATTAGGCTTCTTCTCGGATAGGCTGTTCTCAAGCAACGCAATGAAGTCGGGGCTCGTAAGACGCTGCGGCATAGCATCGGTGTCGTTATAGGCTGCTCCACTGATGTCTGGGGTTGACTCCCAAGGAGAATAATCTTGAGAATTCAAGACCGCATGCTGGAGTGGCAGTGGTCTCGGGTGTACCGAGCTGTCTCAAGAAGGTGCCGCAATAGGCTCTATGCAGAGCGGGACCAGCTGCTCTTCATGTTTGACTGTATACTCCTCCCTAGCAAGGTGTAGTGTAACGAAATGATGAGATGTCCTGACAATGAAGTCCGTATAGATGTAGTTGAAAGGTCTGTCGCTCCCAGGGTAGACGAGGCCCACGTGAAACGTCAGACGCCAAGGACTGTTGATATCGGCCAGGACAAGAATTGTGTGGCTCATTTCCCTCCCCTGCCACGCCGAGACTCTGCCTTCATTATCCGTACAGGTTTTGTAAGAGACATACGGACTTTGAAGGTCGTCAAGGGTAATATATAGTCCTGCAATAGGCGTACTGTCAAAAATAAAGGCCTGGACAATGATACAGTCACTACCGAAAACGGCTTCCGCTTTTTACTCTCTGTTCAATTGTCTGGGGGCCTGTTGTTGGGCCTCTTGGCGCTTATACCGTACCTGTTACCACTGTCAATTGTCCCCCACAGTCCAGCATAGTGCTTAACTGCTGACTTGTGCCAGAGAAGCAGGAAAAACGCATATCCGCCCTCCTGACAGTGGTTTGCGTTTAGTATTGTCATCAGCTTGGCATAACTTTAGGACAGTGGGAGCTGATGAGAATAGAATCAATTGACGCGTTGTTCAGTAATTGAGACTACTATACTGGCAGCTGTTGGTCCTTCTCCAGCCATGCCTTCACAGTTAACAGCGTAGACACGGTGTCCGGATGACCTGTGCCCAATACCTGTTGTTGGACATCAAAAGCAAGCTTGTAGTAGATCAAGAGCATCTTCGTGGCGACCCATGTCCCTCCAAATAAAGGCGAGATTCTCCATGAAGACCAGAGTATTAGGGTGCCGTCGACCTAGCGAACTTGAACACAGTTCAAGTTCTTTGGCTTGTAGTACATCGGAGCTTCTCAGCCTCCTCCCACCGGCCCTGATTCTTATACGTCAACGCCAGGTTGCCCATGCTGATCAGCGTGTCGGGATGATTGGGCCCGAGCTTCGTCTTGCGAGCCTCCATCACCTGTACCTCCAGCTTCTCGGCCTCCTTCCACCGGCTCTGATTCCGGTATGTCCACGCCAGGTGGCTTATGCTGGACAGCGTG